TTGCATACAACATTAACGGTATAGGTGGCTATATCGCTAGCGCCGAACGGAATTTGTCTGTTCTGTAGATTTAGTGGATAAGCGTCAAAAATTCTTGTCTCGACTAATAAAGTCGACCCTGTAGCTGCATCTCACAGCTAGCGCGGCTGTCAAGAGCTGACGCTGTGTGACTCATGTGCGCCAATGTCGAAGGAATGCCGCAGGCTAATTGGCAACTGTTACTTCTCCGGCGTTTAGCCTGGGCCAGTGCGGTCAACTTCCTCGGACAATCGGTACTCATTCCCCCGTCTTTGAAGGTTCTTTGAAAATCTCAGAATCTGAGAAGAAATGAGAGGTCACGATACTATACTGAGTGCAAGGCGCTTGGTCAGAGACATTGTGATTGTTAAGATGTGTTCTGACTTTACTGCTTTTCGAAACATCACGAGCGTTTCATGTGTTGCACCGTTAATTTGCAATAGTATGTTCTTTCTATAATCGCTTTGTTTACTCCTTGCCTTATTTAAGGTTACGTTGTTGCAAAAATAATGTCCGTGTTGCAAAGTTCTACTTTGAAAGACTATAACTCTGTTCAGTCTTCGTGTTCTTGAATGCAATCAAGGACCATCAGAAGCAGTAAACTTTTCGTAATCTAACGCGTACCCGCATATACGATAACGAAAACGGGAAGAAAAGCATGCATCAAAAATTTGAAAGCTTTTCTTTTGAAAACCTTGTTTTTGAGTGATCACAACTCCCTTCAAGTTCCTAGATGCAAGCCATTAGTATACTTTTCTATAGCAAAAATTTCAACGAAGGGGATCTGTGAGAAGAAAAGATAGGAATCTAAAAGTTTTCACTTTTTTGAGCCTGTCTGTGATAAGCCAGAATTCCCCAACTATCATTTAGAATTCTTCATGCTCTAAATAGCTGAATAGCTTAGTGTTTTGCAATGTACGCAAGGGCCTGTAGTAAACCCCCCTCGAGTCGTTACCAGAGGCGCGATAGTCGGAGCCGAGTCTCCGCCTACCTTCACTTTTGAGCTGATACCGGGTGACCACCTTCACTTTTGGGTTTAAAAAAATTTTTTTGCTGAAGCTTAAAAGAAGGAAAATAAGCAAAAGGAAAGTAAAAGAAAGTATTGAGAGCATATTCCCATGTAGTAGGTCAATCTAGGCAGTAACCGCAGAGAACCAGTATTTCGAATGACAAAGTAGCGAAAAATCATGCGAAATTTCCACTGCTATAAATCTGTTGTTTTAAGATGTCAGCAGTTGCGACTTCATAGGTTTTAAAGAGTAAATGGTGCTCTATCAGATAGTGAAGGAATCGAGTCGATTTGAGAGGTAGTCGTTGAAAACCAGAATTCTAAAAATTCACGCCATTTTTGCGTGTTTTTTGACAGTTGACAGTTAAACTCATATAAATCTTGAAAGTGAAAGTGTGTGATGTTGCGACTTCATAGGTTTTGTAGAGCAAGAATTTGTCTATCGGAGTATATCTTAGCCGGTACCGATCCATTGAGATACCGCCGAGATCCAGGGTCTTGAAAAAGCAAGTAAAAATCCGCTTTTTGAACTTCAACAGCTCATAACTTCTTCAGAATTGCACGAATCATGTTGCGACTTCATAGGTTAGATTCTTCTCATCAAGAGTTTTCAGATGGTATATAATATGTGGGGGGTTCAAAGATTTTTGCGGCTCTAACCCAGGGTGGAGACTTTTCACCCCAAAGTCTCCACCTCGCCCATGTTAATGTATTGGCCGGAGACCGCCAGTGGAGACTTTGGGGTGAAAAGTCTCCACCCCCGGGCATATGCCGTGAAAGGCGCGAAACCCCCACACATTATATATCATCTGAAAGCTCTTGATGAGTAGAATCTAACCTATGAAGTCGCAACATGATTCCTGCAATTCTGAAGAAGTTATGAGCTGTTGAAGTTCAAAAAGCGGATTTTTACCTGCTTTTTCAAGACTCTGGATCTCGGAGGTGTTTCAATGGATCGGGACGGCTAAGATATATCCTGATAAGGCAAACTTTACTCTATAAAACCTATGAAGTCGCAACATCACACACTTTCACATTCAAGATTTATATGAGTTTAACTGTCAACTGTCAAAAAACACGCAAAAATGGCGTAAATTTTTAGAATTCTGGTTTTCAACGACTATCTCTCAAATCGACTCGACTCCTTCACTGTCTGATAGAGCACCATTTACTCTTCAAAACCTATGAAGTCGCAACTGCTGACATCTTCAAACAACAGATTTATAGCAGTGGAAATTTCGCATGATTTTTTACTATGTAAATATTCAAAATTCTGGTTCTCGGCCGGTACTGCCTAAATCGACCTACTTCCTTCGCAGTATGTTATGACAAAATTTACTTGATAAAATCCGTACAGTTAAACAAACTTTTACCTCCAAATACACCATTTACTAAACACGTCTATTTAAAATTTTTATAAATGAAATTTATAAATATTTTTAATATTTATCGTATCTGTGGCCCTAAAGAGGGCCGTTGGGTCACAGTTCGACCTAGAAAGATAGCTCTGTTCGCCCGTCCTCCCCCTCCCCCCCCCCCCCCCCCCCCCCCCCGCCCGTCGACATTTTTGGGAGGTGAGTGTCTGGCACTACCACCTTCACTTTTGGCCGGTCAGTGGTAGCTGGCACCACCTTCACTTTTGGGGGGCCCGGCTCCACCTATCGCACCTCTGGTCGTGACGACTCGCTCGGAGCGCGGCAACTGCCCGGCAAATGCCTTTCTGCTGCAGCCCCATGATAAGGGATAGGTGACGTGACTGAGGCATATGCCCGGCGTAACGCCGCAGCAACGCGGCCGGCACGACTAGCCGGCACCAGCATGCCCGACAGTCGGGAAATAGTGAGTCTTGAGTGGAGAGCAGAGAGGTCGTGGTGCCGACAAATGACTAGCGGTCGAGTACGTCCAGGGTGGTGGTGCCGCCCGCTGTCCGTAGATACACGCAAAGGATCGAAACGTACGTCAAACACAATCAATATGAACAGCCGATGGCAGGCAATCGCGTAACGCACTGCCACTCTTTTTTCCTACTGCTATTTCTTCTGTTATTTGCTTTGGAAACTAGATAAGGTAAGTTGATTTTTTTCAGCAAACATCCAAAAATCAAATTTTCTGCCTTCGATCGCTAGCTAGCTTTGCTCATTGCTCTTATTGTTTTTCGGCATAAGTCATAAATCTTGGAATTTATGGTGTTTCTTTTGAGCTTTTATCTAATTTACTGCTGTTTATTGGCTGCGCATCACTTGCTTTCCTTTTATATGAGTAAGGAAACCATTTGGTGCAGTGGCTAAATTAGTACACTCTTGTGAAAATCGATTTAGTGAAAGTAATGTTTTTCGCTGCACTTTTAATATTTTGTTAGCACGTTATTCTTCAACACCCCTTATATTATTTTACATCCATCGAAATACAAACATTGCAAAAATGTGCCGTCTCTCATCGCTTTGCAGAAGAAGTTGCTCTACTTGCGACTTGTGCCCCTGATGTCTCACTTAGGGCCATGCAACACTGGCACTGCGCTATATGCACTGATACGTCGTGATCGAATATCACTTATATGTATAGGGTTACATCACAAAGCGTGATAATTGAATATACATAGGCCTTCCTTTTGTTTAGCACGAAAGAGATTGCCTACTAATTTGAATATATTGGCTTGAGGGCCTATTTATCTTTCCTATGCACTTTTCTATTGTTAAGACTTTTGGCGGAAACATCGCTTATAGCGCGGTGACTGTGGGCGCTGCTCATGCCGTCCAGTGCGAGTTCGGAGTCGGGCGGTCGAAGCTTTTTGCGGCGGGCGGCCAACGTACCGTGGTGCCCAAGTTGTGACTCGTTTTGGGCGGTCATGACCGCGTCTTCTTTGAGTTGTGACGACTTTGGGGGGATTACTACTGGCCAAGATGTCCTCACCTCAAGCATGTGGGAGCAAAGCTTCGGCGATTGCCTTAATCAGGAAAAACTTTTAACCCATAGTGCCATGCATCTAGTATCTATTTTGAGGCGTCGATGTCTCGTCCAGATGTATACAAAAAATTTATTTAACCATGCAATAGGTAAACAATATTCATCGCAAACAGAAGCCATGTTTTGAACTCGTTTATTTGCGCCTGAAATGTGGCCAAGGAAGTTATAGCAGAAATTTCGATTGAGTGCAGCTGTGCAAGATGCTAGTGAAATTCTCACAGACAAGATAGAAGATTGATTTTAAGACTGTTAGAAATTACATGAGGAAAGCTTTCCAATGATGTGCAGAATCTATATCGAATAAATTTTTCGGGGAAAGTGTTGTTCGGAATGTAGGCCTAGAAAATTCAACATTATTTTTGCAACAGCTTAATACAAGTTTTACGGCCATTTATACGGGTCCTGAAATTGATGTACAAATATTGTGACAAAGTTGTTTCACGCAAGTATGCGAGTCACTGTTGCCCAGAGTTCTCCCTGCGTTGCTGCCATCCTACTGGTGAGGGCACTCACAAGTAGCGGCATACACTCAATTTACGGATACGAATAATACAGAAGCACATTTGTTTTTCTTCAGTTGTATGCATCAAATCACAGCAATAAAAATGTTCTTATATGCTCTTCATTTTCTTTTCATATTATTGAAACTTGAATTACGTCAAGCTTAATTAGACACTAATGGGTCATTTCAAGGGCCACTCACTTTACCTCAGGAGAGGCTTCTGTAGTGGTGGGCCAGACTCTGGGCGTGTCAATATTTAGAGTTTGTTAAGGTTTTTGTTATGATCACCCTGCTAAGTGCCCATATATTTGCATTGGGAAAGGGGCTTTTGTCGCGCATGAAGAGTTCTGCTTTTACTCTGCAATAGTCTAGCTTCAAAAATGCACGGGAGTACTGGATGTGTTTTCATCAAACGTAAGTCTAGCCAGAAAACAGTTTACTACGGTACATATTTTCAAAAATATCAAAAACACGTGTTTTTTCAAGCTTTATTTACACCGCATTTAGCTGCTGGCCAGCCCGACTTGCAGGAGGCGTAACACATTGCGTAAAATAATGCAGGAATCGGAAGAAGCTAGATCTTACATTACAAGTCCACCAGTAAGTTTCCTATGAACCGTACTGTATAATTTTTCTGCGATTTTTCAGATTGTGGAATTGTTTAAAAATCTGAGCGTTTACTGCGACGAAGACGTAAATGCTAATAATGTTTGGAGCATACGTGACGTACTTATGGTTGAGGTAGACACGCTAGAGAACAATTAAATGTCCACTTTTACAGAGTCAAAGGCCATGGCACAGTGCGATATGAGCTGTTAACCTTAATCCTACTTGTAGAAACAATTAGTTCCGCTTTTTGTGAAACGCAGAGAAGATTAGACTAAGGTCCCTATGCACGTACATCCTCGCTGGGGACGGAATCTGAGAGAAGACGCGTCATATTTCGCTAATCTAGATAGCTGTATTTTTCTTTTTCTGTCTGCGGTATAGAGAACGCCAACACTTGAATATAATGGATGACAGAAGTTTACCATGTAGGCTGAGATTTTCACTGTTTCTTGTGATCTTTCAGGAATCACAAGGGGATGACATCTTGTTTTTAAAGTCGTCCCTCTATCCAGGAAATTGATGAAAACGTCGTCAAGTTGTACTGAGGATCTGGTCTGGCACTGCTAGAGATGTTTTCGACAAAACAATAAGTTGTGCAAGTTTTGATGTTTTCGATGTACTTCAGTTTGCGAACAATTGTTCAGAAGATTTCGATATTCTGAGATTCCACTAAGTTCTACTACATATAAACATGTTTAGCGGTGCCGTGGTATATATTTGGTACAATTTTACAGCATTTTACTGAATTCATAGGAAGATAAACGACTTCGAAAATGTGAGGTGATCCTTCCGAGAATTACACTAACATGTAATTCCCTACTTTTAGGGCAATGTTTTGTTATCTACAGGGTGTCCCAAAAGTATGTATGCACTGTTTGATCGTTAATATCTCTCTTCCCAAGGAGTCTTTCGCCTTGCATTAGGTTAATTTTGTAGAGGCTTCAACTTAGATTTCCAGTATAGAACGAATCACCCAACTCTCTTCGTTAATGTAGGATTACGGTAGAAACTTCAAAGAGGGTTTTGAGCCATATTTCGCCTCAGAAAGGAAACAAAACAGCCTGAAAGCTTCTACACTAGGCTAATTAGGGTTGCTAATTTTAACTGTAAAGTTCTCAACTTAATATGATGCTTCACTGAAGAGTTATGCCAGGTAAGAGGTAGCGGCCATTTTTTAATGTTCCTAAAAAGTGCGGTTACATCGTCTAGAAAGCTATGCAGTTTTATGAATAGTTGAGTATCAAACCAGCCTCCATAAAAATCCTATTAAACAAGTTTTCACACTTTTTGAATAATTTTGAAATGGCAGCTTTTTCCACTTTGACACCATATGTTGCAAGTTCTTACAGTAATCCTACAGTAATGAAGAGCGGTCGGTGATTCACTCTATACTGTAACTCTAAGTTGAAGACAGCTCTACAAAATGGTACCTAAAGCAAGACGAAAGACTTCTTGGGAAGAGAGATATTAACGATCAAACAGTGCATGCATACTTTTGGGACACCCTGTATTGTGTTCGAGTGTCATGGTATTTGAACCTTCATAAGAATAGACAAAAAGGAAAAAAGATATTTACAGCAGCGAGAAGCGTCCGTGTACGTGCATACGGGCTTGAAAATTCTTCCTGACCATATAGCACAAAACTGTGTATAATCGAACACACATAATATTAGGTTGATTCATAATTAATGCACGTTTTCTATACTTCAACTTTCAACAAAGCTGATTCTTTTTTGAAAAGACATTTCTGGACGCAATGAAAACTGCTGTAACCATCAAGTCAGTGGCTATAAAACACGTACTTTTGCGTGACTGTATCTATCACAAAAAAGATTTTCTAGCCTGATGTTTACCAACAACTTTTTTCAGAAGCCTCTACTTTGAGAGAGCATAACTTATGTTCAAACGAAGTAGGATAAAGCAGATTACGCTCATCGTGTAGCCAAAGGTCTCTTGAGCAGTAGTGCCAAGCTTGAATTTCACGGAAAAAATTTGAAAGAAAATATCGCGAAAAAGTCGAAAGTACTCACTTTTTTCTGGCATCTCGGCGGGTTCAAAAATTGGTCATTTTTGAAATTATTTCATTTTTCTCCACTGGAAAGTGAGAAAACCCTAGCGCTTTTCTACCATCAAATGAACTAGGTCTACCCTTGCTGAATAGTGCAAAAGATCTGCAATCGCCTTTTGCTTCAAGGTTTTTTATGGCACGGAAGGGCCGCGATGATCATTAAAGTTTGCAACTGAATTTCTCGGCTCAGAATTCTCGGAGTATTTTGCTCAAATAGCATCTTGTAGCACAAAGTCTCCTAATCCATATGCATATTTTTTATAATTAATCCGCCTATTCCTCATGGATTTAGGGCAAAAAGAGTGAAAAGCAAAAATTTTGGAATTTAGTGTCTTTTATTTGAAGGCTCAGAACTTTGGAGTAAACGGGGATATATGAAAGCGAAAGGCCACATAAGAAACTAGAAAAAGCGCTCTTTCAGATAGCATAAAAAGTTTTTGAGGAAATTGATTACACATCAAATACCAGCTCTTGAAAGAAGAGGTGAGAAAAACGTGCATTAATTATGAATCAACCTAATAGTAAATCGAATCTATTTTTTTCAGCAACATCGCTCATGACTAATGTCAACATTTTAGCAAATACACGCCAGTGATACATTGCGAATAAAAAATAAATGGTTTTCGGACAAGCTTTTTGAGAAGATTACTGAGGTTGATAAGCGCATCGAGCTTTACAAACAGGCAAATTTCAGTAAGTTTTGTCGAACATCATATTTTGGTACATTAAGCTTTCAGTTGTACAAGTACAACATTATTCGAAGGAAAAAAGCACGATAATCTTTTACTTGGATAAACTGCTCAATCTAGGTAGACCTGTAATGTTCAATGATCTTGATGTCTGGCAAGAATATCAAAAAGTTCGCGGGGGTTCACTTCTTAACGAAATCGACATGCGCATGAAAATGAAACTTGATTGCCAGAAAGAACATCTATTTGGTCTCCAAAGATGCAAGTGGATAAACCATCTAAAGTATTACGCCTATTCAGGGGTATGTTACATGCGCATCTGCGTAATAAAAAACCAAGTTTATTTCAAGTTTAGCACGACGCCAACATAATCTCTTTCTTTGCCATTTTTAAATTGCTTGAATCCAAACTAATAATGCCTGATGGATATGTACCATACGCTGCAGCCATATTTGTCGAATTGTGGATGAATCGTACGGAAGGAAAACCTTATTTCAAGGTTCGTCTCTCACCGGTTGCCACTAACAAACGTCAATGTATCTCTTTCAGTTATGCTACCACAGAAGTCCAAATAGTCCAAGTAGTACCAACACGATCTACACCATTACCCCTGAGATAGAAGCTTGCGCTGGAAAAGTTTACTGCAAGCTGGATGTATTTGAAAATATTTCTGCTGTAGTAAGGCCCAATCAAGAAATGCACAAGGTAATAACGAAGATGGCTTTTTTACTTGTTTTATATGTTCAAATGTTTCTTGCCCGCTCTTTTGATTTACTTACCATTTTAACTCGAGCTGACAGTTGCAAGTCACCAACATATACATTTTCACAAAATCAATTATTTTTTCATATATGCATATCATGACAAGCAGCTCTATTGTATGGTGCTGTGAATGTTTGAAGTTGAACAAAACTGGAGCGGAGAGATAGAAAAAAAGGTTTTTCTGCGTGCAAATGTCACTGTTTGGCTATCATAGACATTCCATCTTGCGCGGTTGTTACAAAGTTCTGATACCGGTTCTGATATATCTATCAATTTGAAAAAGTTGTGCCCCAGCTGAATTGGTCGTGCAATTTGACCCTTCTCTCCGGATTATGCACAACTGCGCATTTAATACAGGTTCAGAGCAGTAATCAAGCCTAGACTTGTTTGATGAAGTGCAGCGGCTTGAATAAAAAGTGAGGTGCTAATATTTCACTTCAATATTAGGACTGATAAGACAACAGGATCTCCACTCGATTGAGCCGCAAATGCGTACATAGCCAGCAAGTTCGCTACTAGGATTTGGCTAACATACCACAATTCCCCTTTTTCTTTATTCTTCTCTATCGCTTTCCCCCCCCCCCTGCAGCTTTTTCTCTTTCTCGGTTTTTTTTAAAGAGTTGGCAACATCTTACAACGATAGTATGATGTGCCTAGGGTCCCAAAAACAGAGGAGAACAAAAATACGGTTTCAGTTAGGTGCCAGCTGAGCTGGACCTTTACATGATTTGTCAAAATTTCTTATATAGTTTTCATACGAGCAAAAACCATTACATAATCCTTCCGCTAAGCTTTTTATACCCATCAAAAATAATCGTCGGCCGCGCAATATGCTACCATCGCAAAAGGACTCCTTAAACAACGGTGTTGATCGTGCTTCCTTTCACACTTCCCATCTCCCTTTACGTCTTTTTTTTTGTTAAGCTTGTCACCGCTCGCAGCGGGGGGGGGGAGGGTGGAGGTGGATGGAGTAGAGCGAGGAGATGGAAGAAGTGGAGGTGTGGAGGAAAGGGGAAAGTGCCGGTCCAGTAGGTTTCAGGCTCCGAACATGGAGTAAAACGCATTATGCAGAAAGTACTGAAAATTTTCGAATCTGCTGTTCGATAGATAGTATCTAACAGAGAAAGTTTTTATTTTCATGCCATTTATTCTGGAATGAGCAAACAAGCAGAAAGTTAGGAGGGGTTCGAAAATGGTCAAAGAAAATTCGCGAAAAAAAATTCGGAGTCAAAGAGATTTTCGCTTTGAAATCTTTCTATGGCCGTATTTTCGAACCTGAAGGTAAACCCTACCCCTTACGTATATATCACCACAAACTTCACCAAGCATAAAATCAGCACTAATGAAGCACGGGGTAGGCTTATCCTGAAGGGTTAAATTTCTTTGGGGGATCCCGGAAGGCGATTAACCCGTTTTCATGAACGGCTCATCAAGGCAAGTTGACCTTAGCATAGAACGCGGTCAAATTCATCCTGACACATCGCACAAACACAAAGTGATTTCCCGATGCACTACTCATTCCTAGCAATACTTCTTCTTCTAGACATATTAGGTTGGCACGAAAGTTCTGTCGCACCATTTTTAAAAATTCATAACTTCTGATTTTTCTAACCGATTTGATTGTTCTTATTTTTGTATGAAAGAGCAAGTCATGCTCTTTATAATGACGTCGCTTACTTTTATTTTTTTCTTCATAACGACAGCTGCCTGCTAATGATCATCTGTTGCATAGATAGGAGTAGAAGAAAATTAATCAAATTTCGAATATTTTGGGTCATAAAAAATCGGGAACTTGCAACAAAAAACGGAGCAGGCGGTATTGTAGGTTCTTTTACCAGCTCTTTCTAACATTGCAAAGTTTGCGCTGATTGAGCATCTCTACGAAAAGTTATGATTTCCCTGAAAAATGCCAAAATAAATCAAATTCGCCCTTTTGTGTTACTTGCTCGAAAATCATAACTTTTCATAAAGGCGCTCAATCGGCGCAAACTTTGCACTGTTAGAAAGAGGTGGTGAGAGAACCTACAACACCGACTGCTCCGATTTTTGTTGCAAGTCTCCAGTTTTTTATGACCCTACAAAGAAATTCGAATTTTGTCTAATTTTCTTTTTTCGCTCTTACCTATGCAACAGATGATCAATAGCAAGCAGCTGAGATGTCATTATAAAGAGCATGACTTACTCTTTCATATAAAAATAAAAACAATCGAATCGATAGGAAAAATCAGAAGTTATGAATTTTTGAAAATGGTGCGACAGAACTTTTGTGCCAGCCTAATATTAGGTTGATTCATAATTAATGTACGTTTTCGAAATTCATTTTCAAAGCGCCGTAATTCTTTTCCCACATCATCTTTCAAAAAGGAGTAAGGGCTGTTGCAAAGAACAAATCCTTGGCTTTACAACGCATACTTTGTTTTTAGATAAATGTGACGAGAAAGTTTGTACAATTCAAAAAACGCCAAGAATTTTTTTTGAGAACCTCTATTTTCAGAAAGCATAACTTGCTTTTTAAGGTAATAGGAAAGCGCAAACTTTGCTCATTGCGTAGCCAATCAAGAGATCAGTGCAAAAAAAACCCGGATTTTACGGTATTTTTCTATGACGACGTACTGCAAAAGGTTCAAAAGTGATCACTTTTCCTAACTTTTTCAAAAGAGCGAGAAACTGTCTTTTTTGATATTTCTCAAAATTATAGCCACTGAAAAGCTGCAAAATCTCGCCGTTGTTCTAACATTTAATGTGCTATGTCTATTCTTTGTGTACAAAGCAAAATCGCAGCCATTAGTTCTTGTTTCAAGGTTTTATAAGACTTCAAAGGCCACAATGACTGGCCAAGTTTATGGTTGAATCTCTCATCTCATAACTGCTGCAAAATTCTGCTTTATAGGGATTTCTATAGCAGAAAGCTTCGCAAGTGTTAAGCATTTTTTTTGAAATGAGCATATTTTGTTTTCATGGAATTGGAGCAAGAAGAATAAAAGGAAGGAATTTCAAGTTTTAGTCTCTCATATTCCAAAGCGTGAGTTCGGTATCATACAGGGTGCCACGAAAAAGAAAGGATATAAAAGAAACTAAAAGAAACGCTCTTTCAGATAGCATTGAAATTTTTGGGAAAGATTTAGTTTCCCTAAAAACAAAAACGTGCCTTAATTATGAATTAACCTAATATCATAAAAACTAATATAGACAATTTTTAGTGTTCCATTGATCACCTTCAAGCGTATTTAGTTGAGCTACGATAGTTTGATCATGTATCAAATCATTCACTGAATGAGTTTATAAGTGGACTAAGGTTCAATCAGAGAGCTTCATATTACAAAAATTTTGGATTTGTTTACCTTAATTTTGCCATTTCAAAACCCTTAATTGGACATGTAATCTACATAAAATTAAATTTTACTGCAACAACTCCGCTGTATATTATACCAGACGATAATATCAAACAAAAATGCGAAAGGGGGCCATAGAAAGCCTGAGATGACAATAACTATAAATATGTAGTATCGCAAGTGGTGAAGTTGAGTGGTACACCGAAAGATCACGTTATGCTTGAAGAAGTGTCAGGGTAAATTTAATTCAATTCATTTAAGGGGGGGGGGGGGGAAGCGTAAACACTTGCCAACCCAAGACTCTATGATATTAATTACAACAAATAGACCTAATTTTTCAAATTTACACACAAAAGGGGAAAGGGAAAGGAGCTTGGGGTAAAGGAGTTGAGCCGCCTCGCGTTTTGACGACTGTCACCGAACAGCCATCTCGGCGCCCAATACGTTATGTTTCGCAGAGACGGACACTTCTGCATGTTTTATTTATTCTTGCAACCCCCGCTACTGTGTCGGCAAAATGACCTAGTGTGTAGCGAGATATAAATGGCACACAGGTCCTAGTAAAGCTGCCTCGTTCGATCTCACTGAGGAAGACTTCAGTTGAGGCTTCGACGAGTCAGCTCTGCCTCAATTGAGCTATTGATTAATAATTCCAACCCCACGTTGACATGATTGAGTGCGCCACGTTCATGCAAGTATACAAGTAGAGACCCGTTACGGAATTTCTGTCTAAATCTCCTCGTTAGCACATTATTTCGTGAGATCCTCGCTCTGATCATCTTTCATGACTCGGCAGAGTGATAATCTCCCTGCCGAACTAGGCCTGAGACTCACATGTCAGGTGACATTGAATTCTTATAGCATGGGAAAGTGGGCGGTCGTCATTTCACCTGATGGATCCTCACATGAGGGCTTCAGAGGAGACCATCTCCCCTGATCGAGGTTCAACTACGGGCCGCATTCTAGTTCGGAACGGGCTCAAGCTCATATTATTTTGCGGAATAATGTTATGGACCTTTTATAACCACCTTTCGAAAAGTTTCAGAAGCTGCGAAACTGATTGTGTTGATCGAAAAATGGTTATTGAATATATTGTATAACTTATTCTATTTTATTGGCATGCTACTTCAAACTTACCTTTCGAAGCAACTAATCTTTTGTAACAAGACAGATTGAAACGTCAAAATTTACTTTGCTACGTCTAAGAAGTTCGACAGTAAACCTGGCGTAGTATCAGGATCATCAATTTGGGTTAAGCGTCGTCGCTTATTTGTGTACTAGCGAGCGTCTGTGACTCTTGCTGGACGGTAAAAGTTAGAGAGACGCTAGACAGGAAAAGCTTGCAAACGTGGCAGTAGCGCCTAGCTAGCCTGTCACATAGATCGACGTGTCAACTTGCAGTTGTGACATGTCGACTTTTAGAACTGACTCAGAAATTGAGAGACATGGAATGCATTGTAAATCATTTCTCGCTATATTAGGAGCTTGTTATAAGTCAAGACCGGTGAATTACATAAATTGTGACGCAATAGTGATGTCTTCTGACTTTGATAGACTGCTGATAGCAACAACGTTGCTCAGAGGCAGTTATAGCGAACATGAGTTGTTATGCAATGGTGTGCATGCAGTTGTCAAAAAATGCCCAACCATACTAGTTGCAGTGGTGTCTCGTGGATCCAAATTTTGCTGTTACTTCATGGCTACTACAACCAATGACAGGTAACTCCAGTCAACTATTTGCCTCCCGAAAAAAATTCTTTCAGCCTTCATCTTCCTATGGGTAGACTGGGTTTGCTTTTAATCCTCATCACAGGGTATTGAGCAGATGCATCAGGTCAAACACACCTCAGCGAATTGCTCACTCGAATTGTTCTTCTTTGAGCAATAAATATTGTTATCGAATTAATCAGGTGTACATTTGCAGGGGCCGTATGCGCGAAATTCGTGCTCTAAGGCTGCGCATATCCTTGTTACAAGGAACCAAAGCAACGTTCGCTTGTGTACAACTCAAAAATAAAGGCGCCGATTTGCTTACCATAGGGATTTTTATATGCACTGCTTTCAAGGTGCAAGCGAAAACTTATTGACGACATGTTGTGTTGTCGTACATTGTATCACTGCTTGGTAACAAGCTTTTAGAGCAAGACGAATGTTTACTCAAAAAGAATAACATTGAAAGCAAGTGTTTCTTTTTGTTCAAAGTGCTTTCTAGTTTTCGTCCCTCAGTGTGTCGATAAAAATAGAAAGCACTTGGACTAGAAAATTTTGAGAGTTAATCTGCATTGCCGAGCCACAACCGATATTGATATAGAATTTTACCGGTTATTTTTCGGTCAGATCCCTTTTCAGAGCCTAGCTCAAACGTACGCAGACTATCCAAGGGAATGCTTTTGAGCCACGCAAGGAAATTTACATGTAAAAAAGTGCAGATCTCTTCTTTTGGGCGACTTTTAATCTTCTATTAAGCTTCTGCCGTCTATACACCGCTTATTGTTGATGTATATGTGCATGTATGCACAGCTAATGATTCTGGATGATCTGGCTGGATGATGGAGCTCACGAATGAGTTTTAGGCCGATCTGTACAACAGTGATCTGTACATCTGTAGACCTGTAGATCTGTACAATATTTTACACCCAGACATTATCGCGCACTGCACACCCTGCGACGGCATTTGCTCAGGGAAAGCAGAGAGAAAGGAGAGATTTGCCACGTGCGTGATGTGTTCAGACAATTAATCAGGGCAGCTGCTGGAGATTGCCACGCGATAATAGAGAAGTAAAGTAAAAATTTCTGATTTATTTGTGAACTTTGGGAGAGCGTAGATGTTGCTTCTCAGTGCAACAAATATCATTTGATTTTGAGTCATTTTTAATGACTGTGCACTTTGTGAGGTTCATTGTGGTACACTCACTATTTGCAGTCCACACATACGGCAACATGCCTAATCATCTTCAAGTCATTGCTTTTCCCTCGAGGTTTTCCGCAATGCGAGTGCATAATGGGACGCTTAACATTGGCTCGCAACTATGACTAGGTTAATAGAATCACCTTGTAAGCACATAGTGCAACTCTTACGTAAGATACATGAAAGATTGACACTTTGCTTAAACAAAAAAAAACTTCCTTGTGTCATGCTGCTTATCATCGACAGGAATTAAATACGGCAATGTCTACAAAACGGATCTGATATTAACAATAAAATCGGTCATATGGTACTCTTTTTCAGAAATGCGAAATTAGATTGCTGAAAACCAGCTGTGCCAGATTGTCTCTTGCTTCATTTTTTCGCGTTCTGCTTCCTGATTTCCATCGCAGGAGGAATTTGTCATTCATGTTTTTTTTTCTTTTGCTCATAAACTAATCTCTGCGTCACCTGCTCCAGCATAACGTCGGACCAGTCTTAACATAACAACGAAGGCAAGGCGTTCATGTACTTCAAGGTCCCAGACCTCATCTGAAATTTACCATGACCTGCCTTCCCACAACAGATCAACAACTATACCAGCTCTAGGTTTCTCTCGGCTTTCTAACTCTTCTGGTGGGCCTTTCAGCTGGCTCCAGCACATTTCGATAGAAAAAAAGCAATGAAAAGTTAGCAGCCTAGGCAATGCCACACCATTTTTCTCGCAGATCTTTTCATCGGCATAACAGCTTTACGCTGCTATGCACCTCCACTCGAAATGTACGTTTATAGCTGCAGCGATACTGGTTTCATTTTAACAACTGTCATCGAGGCAACCGGATTTTCTCTAACAAACCTTCGTGCTGTTTTAGGCCACCAACACTCCTTTATCCCTAGAATACTTCTCAATCTGTCTTTCGTCAATGATCCTGTTGGCACCAAAAAAGGCCATCTTTCACAGCCTAGCGAAAATTGCTACACAAGCATGGGGCCTTCTCTGACTGACGCGTGTGAAATGAAGCGTTATCCACGATCAACGCAAGAGGACGACTGACTACCCGCGACAAGAATGGTCCATGTCACGGTGGTAGTCTTTCGTGTGCTTGAGCTGGACCTCGGTGCTTCCAATACAGCGCCCTCCAAATAACTCCTATTACGATGCTCCTTCGCCCTTTGTCCTTTGCGGCTGTTTTGCCGCAAAAGTATCTCTGCATCACCCGGCTGAAGCAAACCGGGGTATGACTTATCGTTCCATACATTCTCTTTGTTATTCAAATACTCTGTTTCATTCATGAAGATTAGACAGCTACCTCGACTTCGTGCTTCCTCTAGGCTGCGTTGATCTTGGATGAAAGATCTATACCAGTTAAGAAGTGGTGAGTCTTATCAGACATCGAGAAAGTTTGATACTCTTAGACAAGGCCCCTTTTCATGCTCTCGATCATTACATCCAGTTTTTCTCATAACTTACTATGGACGAAACGCTTTATCCTCTCAGTCCAATCCTCTCTGTACTTTTCAGCCCACTTGCTCCCTAAGACGTTTCTTGGTACTAACCTGTAGCCGTCGTCTTCTTAGATTCGGCGGGCCCTCGACGTCCGCTTTGCTCCCTCGATGCCAGGAGACCCCATAGGTTAACGCCGTTACGATTGTTTGGAATTTTGAAGATGGTACCGCAACCCTCTACTCCTAAGTGTTCCTTGATATCTAAAAATGCCCTGACTCATGCAATAATCGCTTATGCTTGCAAATGCAGTGCTTGACTCGCTTTTTCGAAATCTCTTGCTATGCTCACAGTGCTAAAGTTTGTTGGCGCTGAAGCTTCGAATCCCACTTGCCAGTCCGTCGTTCATTTGAAATTGAGTCGGCTTGGTTTGCAACACTGCGCAGTTGCTAAGAAATTCTAACGTGTTCTCTAGCCCTTGGGGCCGATTGCTCTGTTTAGGTGCTAAACTAGTGGGAGGATGTGGGAGTGTAGTACAGTGTAGTGTACAGTGTCAGAAAAGTACGTTACAGTAGTGGAGTACAGTTTATAGTGTAGGAAAACATGCTCTCTTGGCTGGCTGCTGGTGTAAGCTGGGTATTAGACTACCTCATTTGTTTACAGATACATCAAATGTTGCAAGAGCCCTAGATTATTGAAATTAAATGGAGTCTGCTGAAGAATCACACCTTTACAAGGTTTACTGACTCATGTTTGTTGCACATGCTAACCGTTTGGGCCAGTCGTTCTGCCGCACTGTTGGATCTAAATGCATACTCTGGGTATAGCATCTGAATCCGCTCTACGTGTAACTGTTCCTAACAAGATTTTGATTAGCTAATTATCTCATATGCTTCAGGATACACTTGACGGCGTAAAATCTAGTGGATCGACATTTTTGAATAAAATATGTTTTCATAGGTTTTCTACGTCGACGACAAAAACTACTTGAAGCTGGTCATGTCTACAAAAGGAGCCGTTCTCCTTTGTCCAACTACTTGAAGTCGACTTAGCTTTTTGTAAATTCTTTAAATCGAACGTTTTCTTTTCCTAGCATTAGAGGCTCAGCAGCTACAAGTAAGGCAGGCGCTATACTCCTCGAGGAGTATAGCATGGCGACGATCGATACGCATCAAATACATGTAAAACCGGCGATTTTTGCCGCCGATATTGGCGATCACCAATAGCTAAAATCGGCGACTGTACTTTACATACTCAGACAATCACGGGCTCTCAGCCGGCAGCCACAAAGCCACCGCGAAAACCCACCAAAAGCGCGGTGGCTTTGTGGCTGCCGGCTGAGAGCCTGTGATTGTCTGAGTACCTATTGATGGCAAACAAGTTACCACACGTCAAATCGATACATATCAAGCGTGTAGTCGCCGAAAACTGGCGATCGTCAATCGCTACGACTGGCGAACGCCAATCGCCAATGTTGGCGACTCCACGTTATGCTTATCGATTGGACATGTGGTAACTTGTTAGCGATCAATACTTATGAAAGACACAGTCGCCGATACTGGCGATCGGCGATCGCTAATCGTAGCGATTGGGCGCCAGTTTTGGCCACTTACGTTGGGTAGTTATTGATTGGACATGTAAACTCATGCCAGCAATCGATAGCTACCTAATGTGCAATCGCCAACTTTAGCGACTGGCGATCGCCCGTCGCCATGCCATACTCCTCGAGAAGAATAGGGTCTGCCTAAGCTGTTCAAAACTTCATTTCAAATGATGGCAGAAACTGGTGTAAAATCTGCTTGTATACTGAGTAGTTCGTGTCTTACACGTATCAGAGAATAAACACCGAATCTCTTAAGCACAAATATCTGCTGCTGTATCTCTCTTGAAACTCCTTCGGGCGTAACAGTGTTCTTGCGTGCGCAATTTACGATAAAAAGCCCCTGAAGATGTTTGAATTGTCAGCGTCGAAGTTGTCAGTCAAGATAGGATTAACAACGACAATCTCGAACATATGCTGCAGTAGTACTCGAAAAAATACAAAGTGACCAAACTCAAAAACAGAGGATTATTCTGGTTCTGAAAAAAGACAACACGAGAAGATGTGGAGTGATTCTAGGCCTAGTAACAAGATGCTACTAAGAAATTCCAGAATTTACTGAACATTTCTTGGTCAGCTAACATCGGGATGTTCACTTCCCAAAATAAAGAAAAAACTTACAAAAAGAAGAAATTTAGCGTGGAGGATAAAAGAAAATTTAGACTTGGCTAGTAGATTTTACATTTCAGTTTGGAATACTTGTTGAAACTACCAAAAGCAATGAGTTGTTCGAAGAAAGTCAACACGTGAGGTGACTATGCAGAACTAAAACATAACCGTTATCAAAACCATCGTGCAGCTTGCATATGCTAAAGAAAAACCACTTTAGCGAAAGATCGTAGTGGGCTGAAGATGAGCTCAGTGACCATGCAGTTACCATGGTCTACTCGTCAAGAGAGCGCTTGAAGGCAGTATC